TTATCTTTTCAAGGCAAAATTGAAAAGAAATATTGCAGTCGGCCCAAAACAATGTTTCTTTCAAAAAAAAAAAAATTGTATTTCACAGAAACAAGTAGGATTGGATTCTAATTCGGAATAAAAAGTAGACAACCTCATGCCCTGTTTTGGGTGGATATTGCAGAGAGAGGAACACACAGGAACACACAGGGACATCAGCAAACAGATCAGTAGGTAAACAAGGGACGGGTTATATTGCAAATGGATTAATAAATATGCAACCAGGAGAAACAGAGGTGAGCAGTGGGTGAGTTGGTGTGCAGATTAACAGCAGCAATTGTGAATGGGAGGTGGGCACACAGGAAGATCAGCAGGTATTTCCCTGGGGACGCTCTCCCCGGGCTTTGGGTGCCCAAGGGCAGCAGGATTTGGAACCACCCACCCCGTGGAAGCAGCACAAGCCCTTGCCTGGCTGGTTTTTGTCCCCACCGGCTGGTTTACATTTCCCTGCTTTGGGTTGATTGTTGCCTCTTCTCCCTCAGGGTTCCAGAAAACAATCCTCGCTGGCATTTCTCCTTTGTGCTCCTGCTCTTTCCACCCCCGCTCCCACCTCCTGCTCTCCAGTCACTTCACACCACAGCCTGATTAGGGTAAATATTGCCACCAAACAGAAGCTGTCTGAGCAGATACCTTTCCATTCACCTTCCCACCAGGAGAGCCTGTAATGAATGAGGAGAAAAACGCTGCTGAGGTGTCAGAACAATTTCTATTAAACATAATTTTCTAATGAAAAGGTTATAAGCAGCTGTGTCAGAGCTAATCAAAATTCAATCTCCCAGCCACCGAATAACAATCCTCTTCCAGCAAGTGTGACTGGGAGGGTGGCAAGCCCTGCACAGTGTGGAAAGTGGGAGAGCTCCCACATCCTCACTGGAGCACAGGGAGGGGGAGTAGTTTGCCCCTCACCAACCCATCACCTCTCAGGGATGAGTTTTTCCCTGCCACCAGCACATCCCTTAATTTATCCCTCTCGTTTCTTGCTGCCCCTCCTTCCCTCCCACCCTTCTTTCTCCTCTCTGTCTTTCCCAAGCCACTAGAGAGGATTGGAGGCAGGATTACTTATTGATAGCAAGAGCCACCATCCTAAATCCAGTCAGGGATGGTGGCTAATCCCTTTAATGAGTTGCTTTAGCTCTGGCAGCTGAGCTAACCTGCATGTTAACTCTCCAGCTCTCCCTTCACCCCCTCCCAGACACTCCGAGCTTGCAGACCAGGACATCGCCCTCAGCAGTGGGGGAGAAGCCCTAAAGTACTTTTTTATTCCTTTAGCAATATTGAAAACAGTGTCAGAGAGCCCCAAAAGTGCTAGTTATGTCTCTCCAGCACCCAAAGCTGGAATAGGAGGTGTGGGAAGACCCACTTCCCTCCCCAACAAATTTGGGAAATACTATTACAGCATCCAAGGTGAGAGTCTGGAAAGGTGGTGCCTGTTTCCTGCCCGGTCTGTGTTTCCCTGCCAGCAAGGATGGCAGGGATACTGGCAAGGATGCCAGCAAGGATGGCAGGGATAAAGGGGTTTTTTTCCCCTCCCTTTCCTTATTAAGATAAAGCTGTCACCAGCTTCCCCATTCCACTGGTTTGTTGGGACTTTCAAAGCCTGGAACTGTATTAAATATTCAGTCTACTCCTTTTGGCTACATTTCAGAGCCTGTATCCCTCCCTTTAATTGCTCTGTCAAGAATAGATGAAAGTTTGATACCGAGGCTTTGACTGGGAACAACTCAAACACTTTGGGCTCTGCTGATTTATTTATTTAAAGAAAAAAAAATCAGGATTATTCTGCTTAAATTAGGCCCCATGCAATCGCTAAAGACTTCTTTTTCATTTATTCTTTTATGCATCCTTCCATTAACTCTGTTCTCCGCTAGTTTTTGTTATGCTGAATTTTCTGCCTGGCTCTCCTTTATCTCTTTCTCTCTCTCTTCTGTCACCAGGTTTACAGGTCCTCTAACACCTCTTCTGGAGCACCGCCGTGCCCGGTGCTCTCACGGGAATGCAGAGGGATGTTTCCATCCCAGGAGGCACCTCCCTGGGGCATTGCTCCACCAGCAAGGCAGCAGAAAGCAGAATTTGGAGAGAACGTGGCTGGCGGAGATGAAACAACCGCAGCATCCTCTGCAGAGCTTCAAAGGCTGCCTCTGATTTATAGGCACCCTTAATCTGCACCCACTGCTTGACCCACCTCACCCAACAGGCTGAGTCCCCAGGGCCCTTCCCCTCTTTTTGCCTCTCCTGGGCATCTTTGTTGTCTCTCTGAGCTCTGAGCTCTGCTCTCTCCACGCTCAATTCAGCTCTCTCCCGTTGCAGGCTGCAGCTGGAAGGAGACTTTTTTGTTTTGTTTTGTTTGTTTGGGGCTTTTTCCTTTGCTTTGTCCTGCCGTGGCTGCATCTCAGCTGCTTCTCCACGAGGTCTGGAGCTGGTGGGGGAGCACATCTGTGCCAGGGGCAGGGGGACAGGGTCAGCCCCAGTCCCAGGGTGGCAGCAGCAGCCACTCCAGCTGCGCTGCCCTCCTGCCTCCTCTGGTGTAATTACCACCCCTTTGTTACTGCCTGCAATCACTGCCTGTCTCTGCTTTAATCATCGTCTCCCAGCAATGAGCATTCCTTCTCATTAGGGCCTTAAAAACCTCCATTATAAACATGTAAATGGGATGCAGCGAGGAGGGAAATATTTTACTACTCCAATTTCCTGTTGTGCCACTGCCAGCAAGTCGTGATGTTATTGCTGAGCATCTCCAGTCTGCACCAGCAGCTACAGGGCCAGACCTACACTGTGCTTGCAACCAGCATCCCACAGTACACTGCTATCAAGGTTTTCCAGATTTTTCCTTTGAGGAAAGACTGGAGATAGGCAGTAGACTTTGAAAGCACCAGAGAACCTGATCCCCTTCCCTGATCCAATTGGCAGTACACTCTCAAGGTAAAACCAGGAAACCAGCCTGTGTTTACAGCACAGAAAGTGAAATCTCAATTTCTCTGGCAGCAGCATTGAAGGACTTCGACCTCCTCAGAGTCTTCTGCATTGACAGCAGCTGAGCTCTGCCCTCCTGATCAGGTGGTACCCCCAGACCCACCACAGGCACTCACTGCAATCCATGGATTCTGCCAGCTTCCTTCTCACGTCTGTCCAAGCATCTTCTCTCTGCTCAGAAAGGGCAGGGTCTGGTACTCCAGAGGGATGCTGACCCCTCCTTCCTTTCTGCACACACAGTCCTGTCCAGGAGACACTTCACACAAGAAAACCCTGCTCTGCCCCCCTGCACAACCTCTCTCACACCCAGACAGCAGCAGGTACTGCCAAGGTCCAACCCAGCATTTACAAAGCCAACACCAGCTGTGTTTGCAGGAACACCAGGGGAGAACTTGCTCCAAAAAGCTGCACAGAACCCATGCCACAATTTTTTGTCCTTTTCCCACTTCTGTTCATGTTTGTTGCAGGGTACAAGGGACACTCGATCTCATCTCTCCAGACTGGTTTTCTACCTTGTGCATACTAAGGCCTCTGCAAGCAGAACCCACTGAATACATATAAAATATTCCTCCCCAAGTTGCCTAACAAACCCCTAAAGGCAGAACTTGCAGCCAAGGTGCAGAGGAGAGATAGCAAATCAGGCACTCCAGTGCTTTCAACTCCAATTTCCTTGTCCTACCTCCCGATAAGATGTTGCTGAGACCTCTCCCATTTCTCAGTTCCTCTCCAGCATGTGCATTTGGCACTCCTGAACTTTTTAATTTCATAAACCACCGGTGCTTTGCCTTCCCTTTTGCACCCCTGTGCTTTCTTGGAGCTCTCTAAACCAGGTGCAACCACCTGATAATTCCCTGTAATGTGATCACAGGGCCCCTGTGCCAGAACTGAACCGTGCTGAGCTGCAGCCTCAGCCCAAGAAGACCACTGCTAATAAAAGAGCAGGACAGATGGGACTCAAAGCCCCCTCGAGCCTGAGCTGCATCAAACAACCCCCCTTATTTTGCTGCTCCTCACATCAACATCCACAGCATCCTCCTGGATGACAAAACCAAGCAAGGCTGCTTACCTGCACTCCCCAGGCTCCACACATCCCATCTCCAAGGGGATTGATGCAGAAATAAAAGCCCTTGACTTGCTGGAGAGGGGTTTATGTCCTCTGGGCACCTGAGGAAAGGGCACACTCTATTGCTGCCTCCCTTAAAAAAAACCCACAAAATCCACACTCCTTCTTGCACTCAGGTAATGAGGAGCAGGACCAGGTGGTTGTGCTCCTTCAGTCAAAGGCAGGGAAGTTAAAAGGGGTTAAACAGACTTATGAACACTCTCAGCCCTTTGTGCAAGACCCTGTGCTAAGGGGTAACTCACATCAGATTAAATCCTCTTTAAGAAATGCCCTGGCTTTGCCCCTGGACCTTTCACTTTGTTCCCTTGGAGACAAGCCCTGAAAGCTTCTCTAGCAGCCCTGAGTGCTCTGGTTTGCTGCCTCAGCTGACATCCACACTGCCCAGTGGCCAAGCTGGGCATGGACAGGGCAGGATAAAACAGGGCAGTTGAGTCCTGCAGCAGAAATACTCCTGTATTAGCAGGTTCCACCTGCATGCAGGCACACAAATCCTCATCCATGTGCTCAGTCCTTGTACCACAGCTGGTCAGAGCATCTCTGTCGAGGGCAAAACCATGATCTGGGTGTGCACAAACTGCTCAGGAGCCCTGACACTGGACTCACTTTGGAGTAGGGAATGGTTTGGAGTGAAGTGGAGTTTATAGCCCAAACCAGCCACCTGCCCAGGGACCTGCTGCAAAACTGTCCCATCCATCCCCTTCCAGGCAGAGTTTAATACTTACACTTTCCTATTTATGTCCCCATCCTGTGGTCTTAAAGCATAACCAGCCTTTTCACGAGCTCCCTTTGACTGCAGGGCAAAATCCATGCCTGCTTTTAGGCACAGGAATGCTCTTCCCAGCTGTCTTCCCCAAACAACTTCCTTTTTCCTCAGTCAGAAATTGAAGTTCCCTGCAACGAGTACATCTCACTCCCCTTGAAGCCCAAGGATCTGACAAAAGGTGAGTTTAAAAGCAATAAATGCTCAGTGTGTGGTGCTGGCAGTTCTGTCTCTTCCCGTGGCCTCAGCTCAGGGTTAGGAGTTATGATGCAAGATTAGGAATATTTAATAACAGGAGGAAGAATTGAAGCAGTTGTAGAGAGAAAGCATCAAACTTACAGTGCTAATTAGGGTTTTAAGGGAGGTTTGCTCTTAACTGGTCATGAATGAACGGGGAGTGGACGAGGGCGGAGCAGAGAGATTCGTGTATGAGTGGGAATTAATAGTTGTAAAGATGAAATTTGGCTTTCTCTTGTGGTTAGGGCTGGGATATGACAAGTCTGCCATCACAGCCTGCATGATTTCAGCCTGTGTTCTGTATGAGTGGCCAACATTTTGAATTCCCCTTTGTTTTGCTTATTTGGGAGAAGATACATCTCTGGATGCAGAGATTAAAATGGCTTTTTTCCTTGTCACTTTGGGTGCTGATTTTAATCAGGGTTGGTTTGTTGTTTTTTTTTTTTTTCCTTCCTCTTTCACAGCTCCATTTCTAAAGAAAAAGAACAGCTCAGAGAGAAATTGGAGCTGCTCCCAGGACAAATGGGCCTGACTGGCAGTGCATAAAATTACCACTGTCTCTTCACCTTGCTTTCTGCAATCCCTTTATTAACTAACTGAATCCGCAGTCATTCTCTCTTTCCCAGCTCATTCATCCTCTTTCTCTCTCTCTCTCTCTCTAAAAGCTAAAAGGTTCATTATCCCATGCTGCTGGGCTGGTAATGCACCCAGATCACGGGGCAGTGCCATTACATGTCCTGCAAGTGCCACCAGCCCGGGCTGGTGGCAGGAGGCACCTCTGGCCCTGTGGGATGTGCTGGCTCTGGACCTGGGAGCTGCTTTCTCCAGCCACAGAGTTCCACCAGCACCTCCCTCGTGACAGAAAATGGGGCCAGTTCCCATCTGAGCCCCTAAACAGAAGGATTCAGACTCGACCTCCAGCTGTGGGGCAGAGCAAACATCCAGGTTTAGGTTCCAGGAGGGTCATTAATTTTCACCCAAAGACCAGGAGGAGAAGTGTGTTTGTTTAATGAACTCAGAAGCAATTTGTTCTTCTGCTCAGTGTGTGTTCTGGTGTTTTATAAAGACTCATTTTTTTCCTTTAGTGGGGGTGGGGAACAAAGACTAATAAAATGTGTTAACAACGAGTACCAGCTGCGTGGAGAGGACATGTAAGAGGGGAAGATGATTTGTGGGCTGCACTGAAAGAGACTCTGAACACTCAGTCCAAAAACCAGGATGAGGAAGAGCTGACATCACCCCTTCTCAAAAAGGTGGTGGGTTCCTGGCACTTAAATCCTGATTATTAGCGTGTCTCTGTGGTCTGATGGAGCCTGAAGGAGCCCAGGCCTCTCCCAGCAGGTGCTGTCTGACACTTTACCTGTTCTGCAAGACCTTTTCTTCCTTGCACTCCCTGGACCAGCTTCAAGGGGAGGAAAGGAGGCTCTTCCTGCTCTCCTTGTCCCTCCTTGCTTGTGCATTCAAGGATGATGCTCCTGGGCAGCCTCACTCCCTTGGCCACTAGACCACATCCAGGATAAACTATAATTTTTTTACTTCCTTAATATTTTGTAGCTGACACGACAATAAATAACTAAAATATCCATGCTTTTGTTGCAGCAAATATTGTTTTACGGGAGATGAAGGCAGATATGACCCTCAATATACTGCCCTTCACTGTAGTTATTTTCTCTTCTCTCTATTATTTGGTGAAGCTTTCTAGGACCATTTATATTTTTCTGTATATCACTTTAAGATCAGAAAGAGCCTTAAAAAGTAAATTGCATTTTTCTCTCATTGCAGAGCCTTGGATTTCTTGCTCTTCTCTTTGATTTTTCTTTTTTTCCCTAAAGTAAATAAACAAGGAAATTTTTTTACAGCACTCTCAAGAGGTTACATTCTGGTCATTTCTCTTGGTTGTTTTTCAGTGTTCAGTGACAATTATTACTAAAAGAGAACAGTTTTTCCAGCCAAGGCCTAGAATGGAAGCAGTCATGTAAACCATGATTTCTGAAGGGTGAAGCAATTAGGCTGCATCCACCTGTTACAGAAATCCTGGGAACCTCAGTGACCTTGGATGCACTGAGGTTTGCACCATTTCTTCAGCTTCTGCATCCTCTGACACTGCCAGCACTTTAACTTGTGCCTGTTACACCCAGAAGAATGTGCACATAACACCTGTATTTCTGGCACTTCTCACAGCTGCAGGTGTTGCCAACTTCCTCAGCGTTCACCCAGGCAGGCACTGGAGTTTCTCCTGCTGATCCTGCACAGAAACCACACACAACCTGTAATTTCCTCAGCATAATCCAGAGCAGGATGAGACACACAGAGTAGCTCATTCTTCCCCTCTGGAGACAGCCCTAAATTCTGGCTAAGGGAGAGATTGTCCTTTTGGTAACTTCCCCTCGTCTCTCATTTTCCCCAGGTTGCTCCTTTCATCTGTTCACACATCCAGGGGGTTGGTTTTAACTGGAAGTTGACAAGTGGGGGACATGGCCAGCAAACCTCGGCTGGGGGCTCTTGGTCCTGCCCTGAGGGATGCCCAGAGTTTGTCAAAAGCCTTTCTGAGGAATCACAGCCTGAAGACAAGCTCTGGAGCCTTTCCTGCTTTCCCCCTGTCTGGTCTGAGCTCGTAATGGTCGCCCCATTACTGCTGGTGACAGGCTGGGATAACATTGCCATTTCATTAGCAGGGTATTGTTCAGCAGATTGATGGCTGGCAAGCTGAGAAAAATTGCATCTCCCTCTGCAGCTGCCTGTCTCACAGACAGCATTCATCACAGAGGGAAGGCAGCGAAGGAAAACATCCAGGAGTAACGACTGGATGCATTGACATCCCACCAAAGTCTATGGGTGAGGATCCTGGAGCCCAGGAGTTTTCCCAATCCCAGGAGAATACCTTCCAGGGAAAGTAGAGTGCTGGGTCTGAGCTCACAGAGGCCTCACCTCTCCTCTGTGCCCAGGAATTATTATTAAACAGACGGTTGCAAAGAAAAGCAAATATTGACATTAAGTAAGAAAGCAAATGCCATTTTGCTTCTGGGTGCTTGAAGAGCGGAGAGAGACGATGAGGTGCAGAAGGAAATGAGGCTCTGGAAAGGTTTAGAGAGGGTTAGGTTTGCTCCCCAGGCCTCTCAGCATCTACACAACCTCTTTTTGCTGCAGGAAGAGGGATTTGGGGCTTTCTGCTGGAGACAGCAAGGCTGCAAATGCAAAGAACAGCATCAAAGGTAGAAAACAGGCAGAGAAAAGAAGAAAAGTAATCCCACAGAACTATTTTGTGGTTGTGTCTAACCCTCTGTGTTTCTTGACTGTCTTTTGCAGGCTTCTTCCAACAGTGCTGACTGGTTCTCAGGCTGGATGAAGCCAGTTGTCCAACCTCCAGAAGAATTTCTCCCATCTGAGCACCTCCATCCACACTTTCAACACCTCTGCTGACCTGAGAGGGGGGTTCTATGTGGTTTTCTACCATGGATTCCTTCCTCTCACGGTGTGTGATCCTGGGAACCTCGCATCATTCTGGCAGTACTGCTGAGCACAAGTTTTCCTGAGCCACTCAACGCCCAGCATTCTGCAGCCAGGGTATTTCCTAGGAGGGGCACACTCTGGTGCTGTGTGTTTGCAGCAAAACAGAAAAGAAAAGCAGATTGTATTAAAGCTGCAGCCTATCCTGCCACTTCTGGGTTACCACCCCAGTTTTGCCTGGCCCTCTGCATCCTCTTGGAGGCAGCTCCTGACGTGGGAGGCCCGGGAGAGCTCCCGACGCGACGAATAAAAAGCCGCCTCGCCACTGTACACAAAAAATTAAAACCTCATTTGTGTCTGCTGAGAGAACAAACCACAGCTAATTAAATCCCCTCACAATGGGACGTGTTGTGTGCCAGTGAGGAGCCTCCTCCTTCAAAAGCACAGCTGGGGAGGAGAACAGCCATCCATCCGTGCTGTGCCCCCTCCGGAGCCGTGGGGTGATGGGGCTGGCAGGGCACGGCTGTGCAGCACAGCCCTGGCACATGAGCCAAGGGAGGTTTGGTTTTCTTTGAATTTTATGTCATTTTGCCAGGGAAAAACACACACAGCCACGCAGCAGGAGTGCTCTCCTCTGCTCTCCCCGGGGAGCAGCAGAGCTCCCAGCGATCCTGGGAGGGATGGGGAGTTCCCTCGCTGTGTTTGCAGCAGGGGAGGGGACACAGCCAGGCCACGGGCTCTGTCCTGCTGTCTCTGTCACACAGAAGAAGCCCAGCAATGAGAATTTGTTGTTGTCTAACACCTGTGCCACTGAAACCATACCCATCTCCACCTCTCCTGCTGTTGTACACGGCCTCCCTCACCAGCTTCACACGTGACAGAGGGTCAGGAATTGCTTTTCTCCCTCTTTTTTCCAGGTTGAAAGCTGAGAAGCACAGAGAAATCTCAATGACAAAACTGGGGCCAAAACATCTGCATCAGTGCCAAGCAGCACCCAAATCTGATCAGAAAATCCTGGGGTTGGAAAAGACCTCCAAGATCACCGAGTCCAACCTGTGATCCATCTCCACTTTCCCCCCCAGCCCAGAGCACTCAGTGCCATGTCCAGTCATTCCCTGGACACCTCCAGGGGTGGGGAATCCACCACCTCCCCAGGCAGTCCCTTCCAATGCTTGAAAACCCTTTCCATGAAGAAATTCTTCCTCAATGCTCCCTGGATCCTTCCTGCCCCCTGACAGTCTCCCTTTGCTCCCTGTGCAAAGGTGCCCCTGCCCAAAGGTGTCTGACTGAGCAGAGCTGTGTCACACACCAGGGGAAGGGTGCCCAGACTGATGGGGACAGATGACCAGGTGTCTGCCAACTCAGCCCCACTTCCCACAGTGTTTGTTTGTCAAACTGTGCAATGTGCCTGCTCACAGCTCTGGCTTTGCACTGAAGGGTATTTAAAAGTCGGAGGGTGGCTGGAAGAAGACCTGTTTTGTATTAAAAGGATGAAGTTCATTCAGCTGGAGCTCAGTCTGGACTCCTTGAGCAGGAGGAGGACAAGGGCTCCTTCACTATCTGCACCCATACAAGCTCAGCCTTTGTGATTTCTTTCGGGTAGTGTCAGTTAACTTTCATTTCTGAATAAAATGGTATCATTTAATGTAAAGTAGCAATTTTTTTCCATTTTGAAAGCGCTGAAATGGGATGATTCACCAGTATCTTTCCTTCTTTCCCACAGATATATTTGTTATCGTGTTTCTTGTAAAAATTGACTTATTTGTGAAAGCGTTTCCTGCCGAGAATTTCGGTTTCATTAAAGCAGTTTTCTGATGAGGAAGTAGATAATCAGAGGACACCTGACCTTACCTAGTGTATCTCATCTTCCCTCATTAGTGCTGAGGAGCTTTTCTGATGCAGCCTGCCAGTCACAGGAGTGGGAGGGCTGAGTTTCTGTGTTAACCATGATTTTGGACCAGGTATGTCAGGGAGTGGAGGAGTAATCAAGAAGACAGAGCCCCAGCCTAGAGCAGGCAGGAGCAAGTGAGAATTTTAGCACCATTCCCCCACTCCCCTCTGCCTGCAATGTCAGCAGCACCACTCCTGTGACTTTGCAGTGGTTTGCATGAGACTTTTTGATCCCTGGGGGAACAAGTGTCCCTCCTTTGGAGCCTGTGGCTTGGAAGAGTCTGGAAGCTCAAAGAGAAGACAAAAAGCAAAGGCAAGACCTCATCTGGTTCTGATGCAAAGCCAAACCAAGCTGCTGGTGGAGCACATTCCACAAGCACTGGCACCCCAGTGGGTGTATTGTCAGGGTGCTTTCTCCACAGAACTCCTGGAATATGCTGAGGCACAAATGTTTAATACTGCCCTTAAGTATCCACAGTGCTGCCTTCTCTTAATGCTTTCCCTGGGAGCATTCCTAAAGCCAGAATTCTGGCAGGGAAGGAGAGGGAAAAAACCTGAGGAAGCAAGTGAATGCAGAAGACAAACAGAGAGTGGCTGTGAGGGAGGCAGAGCCTCAAATGTCTGAATTCACCCTGCACTGAAGCCAGCACTGCATTGGCTCAGGGGAGGGGACTCAGCCCCCTCAGTGTTGTTCTGCATTGTTGGTGGGTTTGTAAGGTTTTCATCCCGGTTTTACACCAGGATGAAACTCTGCAGCTTCCAGACTGGCTGATTTGTGGCAGGAATCCCAGTGGCCATGCAGAACTGCCTCTCCTCACCCATCTTCTCTTGCTCCTGAGGGCAGCTTAACCAACTCACCTGAAACATTATTTATTTGGCAGTAAAAGCCACAAATAAAACACAGCTGCCTAATGAAGACAACTTGGTGAGTCTGGCCCATTTTTAATTTTAATGTTGCATGTAATCCCCATTCTGGTCCATGGACTTGTCAGTGGTTTTTACAGCTCCTGGTTATATGAGTGCAGCAGGCAGAGACAGCTCAGTGGAAGAGCTGGGAAAGCTGCACTAACAACTGCCCCTGGGGAATCCAGCCATGGGAGCCAAGGATTTGTCTGCACTGTCATTGCAGTGACAGAAAGCAGAGGCTGAGCAAGCACTCTGTGGTGGTGTCCTTTTCACAGCCTACCTGGCTGCTTATTTATAGGTAGTCAAATAGCTCTGGGCCTGAAGAACAAGGGAAGAGGAGACTCCTGCGTCACCACCCGTGCAGAGAGAGACACAAACAGGCAGCTCTTACAGAAGGAAAGTGGATACCAGGGATTTGCCCATGGGTACAGGGAGGATGGGCAGTGGCAGGCCTTGGGGTCAAGCCCATATAGCCAAGTTTGGAATCTTGGGCTACCCACCACTCCTCATCCTCGAGGCTGTCTCTGCCAGTGAAGGAGCCCATCGATAACAAGCAAAGCAGCCTCCTCTCCAGAGCACTGTCCTGCCAATAAAGCCCTCCAGACCCATTCACCTCCTCCCACTGGACACGCCTGGTGCTAAACAGATCACAGACTGCAGAGTAAATCCATTCAGAGGCTAAGGATTTTCTGACAGAGAGATGGATACAGAGGAAGCAGTTTCCTTCCCAGCATGAATAGAGGCAAACACAAAAGGGTGGGCACATAAAAACTCGGCTCTGCTGCTCCCCTTTGGAGCTCCTGACCTCAGCTGTCCTGCAGGGCTTGCTCTTCTGCCTGCACAAGCCTCAGGCTCACTCCTTCCATTGTGCCACGAAGGGTGCCCTCCTCCACTGCTCAGCAAGCACTTCAGCCTCTGTTGTCCCTCCAGTCAGGGAAGAGAATGCACCCAGGAATGCCTGGAGAGCACAGAGGCTGTTGGGTTCAGCACCCTCACGGCTGGGGGAGCTGGATGCTGTCTCACAGCTGGAGGCTTGGAAGGGAAATGGGATCTTTGCTCCATTGGCAGTTTTGCCAACCCAGGATCAGGGCTGAAGCAGCACATGGAATTCTATTACTCTCCTGGATGCTGGGATGGTTGGCAGGAGCACACTCAGCCCTGGAAGGTTTGCATCCCCCATAGCCAAGGCAGGAGGTGCCCCAGCTTTTATGAGTGAGAGAATTGGGGCCAGGAGGAATTATACAACTGATACACAGGGAGTCTGTGGCAGATCTCAGAGTTTTATCCCAGCCCTTCATCACTTTGCCCCTCCTAGGACTCACAACAAGGTTTAATCAGGTCTGCATCCTCTCCCTTTACAGTCGTGTAAATCAGGAGTGACTCCCCTGGAGTTGCACTGTCCTTTCCTGCCCAGAGCCTGCTCTGAGGGGCTGAGCTCACAGGCAGGCAGGAATTGGGAAGGTGGCCAGAGAAGATGCTTCAGACCCTTGAGTCCCTCAGCCCCAGGCCTGCAGGCTCTTCACTGATGCTGGCCCCCTTTTCTTCCTGGGGAAATTGTGCTGCAGTGCAAAGAGTGCTTGGATAATGTCCACAGGCACCCACCCCCAGGGAGAGAGGAGGGGTCTGCTCCCCTGGCTCCCCTCCAGGGACCAGCGTGTCAGCCACACAAGATGCTTCTCGAATGAAGTGCAGAAACTGCCACCAGCTGTGGAGCTGGTGAAAACCAGCCCAGCCACTGACAAATGCTCCTCTGGAGACGGCTGACTCAGAGCCTGCTCTGCCTCCCGGCTGTCTCCTGTCGTGCAGGGCCTGTCTCAGAGCCAGCCAGGAGGGTTTTCTGCCTTCTGAGTTTGACCTTCTAAGGATGTTGAACATCCTTCAGCATCTGGCCCGTCAGGGATGTGACATGTGGCACAGCTGGGCAGGACAGAGGCTCAGGCTTTGCAGTGACCTCATTCCTCCTGCTCGTTCTCCCATCTCTTTCCAGGGGCTGCAGACACATGGGCTGCCTGACTCCTTCAGGTCACAGCAGGGACACTGGGACAACACACAACAGCACATCCAGATGACCAGGATTCTTTTCCTGAAGGAAGAATCATTGTCTCACCTTCCTCCCCAAGTGATACTCTCTAATTTCATGCTAATCCTTCATAAATCTGCAGCCTGGACCTGGTGGTGAAGAGGACAGATTTTGCTCTGCTCCTGCTACCTTGCACACCTGAAGTCAGTCCCACTTTTAACCCCTTGGTTGCCAGCATGCTGCTAGGAAGCACCTTTCTGCTGCAGCCAGACCCCTGGCAGGGCTCTCCATGGGATTATCAGCAATCCACTGCAGAGCCAGGGAAACCTCCTGCTGCCCACAGAGCAGGATCTGCCCCTCTCAGGTGCTGGATCACTGATTTCAAACGCTGCTTGGTTCAGTCCCTGAACACATTTATCTGTCTCCAGCCACAGTGGAAATCCCTGTGCACATCAGGGGCTCACCAACCTGGGCTGCAGTTTGGCTTTGTACCAATTCCTGACGCTGCCCTGCTGGCTGGGCTTCCCAAGGGGCAAGGAAGAGGCTTGTCTGCCTTTACAGGTAATTAAATCTGGATTAGAACAAGATCTTACTGGAATCCAGCCTGGGGGGAGTTGTAAAGAGCTTCCCAGAGATGAAGCTCTACGACCAGAGTCCAGGCAGTGCTGTGCCCTCCTTCTGTCTCCTGAAAGCAAGAGGGTAGTGAAAAACCCACAGAAGCTGCTCTGGGAGCCTCTAGCCAAAGACCAGCTCAGATGCTTCAGCACAGCACTGCCCACCACATGCAGCTCACTGTTCCACCTGCAGGAACTGAGGTCTAGACTCGTGTAAAACCAAACTTAATCCCTAATTCTCTTCAATCTTTCACATGCTTGGCTTTGCAGGGCTCCCAGCAGAGAGAAGGAGCAATCTCTTCCCTCCTGCATAGCTTTGGGGAGGAGCTGGCCCTGGATGCTCAGCCAGGAGCTCTCAGCATTGCCACATCTCCCATTCCCACTGCAAAGGGCTTGCTGAACCCCAGATTCTTCCAGGGGGCCAGGCTGGACTGAAGTGGTCTTCAGCTGGCAGGACTGGTCTGTAGAAGTGTTGTGTACCCTGCAGGTCACTCCCATCAGCACAAGTGGAGAGCACCTGCTGTGCCCTCTCCTTGGGTATCCTGTGCCTCATCCACAGAAAGGCTTTGCCAGGGGAATTTG